TGCCTGGGGGACCTCGAGAAGCCGGCTGTGCCCTGTGCCCTGGGGGCGGGGTGGGCGTCCGGTGGGTGGGGCCAGGACCGTCTCAGCCCCCCCGGAGAGGGGTCAGTGGCAGGGACCGATCTCAGGGCATCATTGCTGCTTTCTCACGGTGGCTGGATGAGGTCTTTGTGGGGAACCCGTGAGGTTTTGGGGTTCGGCCGTGGGCAGGCACGTGAGCTGCGTGTCCCCCGCAGGGCGCTGTCCTTCCTGGGCATGAGCCTGTGTCTTGCCCTGATGTTCATCTGCTCCTGGTACTACGCCCTGTTTGCGATGCTCATCGCCGGCTGCATCTACAAGTACATCGAATACCGAGGGTAAGCCGCTGCAGGGCCTGGCCCCGGGGCACAGGCGGGACCCAGCTGTCACAGTCACACACCTTCGTCACAGCAGCTGGAGAGTGACGCGTTTTTTACGGCGTGGTTTTTGAGAACGTTGAAGTCCATCCAATGACAGCACTGACGTGTTGGCGGATTTCAAACTTTCCGGAAAGTACCCCGCGTCCCACAGCGCCTGGTCCATCCCTGGGGCGTTTCCCTTGGGCGCCTGGCCCCCTCTGGGGAGGGTGCTCTGGGCCGGGGTCCCTGCTGCTGCCCCCCCAGCTCTTTCCAGGGTGGTTTAGCTGGAGTGTCAGGGGCCGTGACCACTTGCACTGGGGAGGCCAGGCCCACTGAGCCGGCTGTGCTCCTCAGCGTCCGCTCCACACACACAGCCGTGTTCCCGACTCCCACGTCCCGCCCTCGGTGGAGACCCCATGGTGGCTCCTCGGGGAGGTTGCCCCTGGGGGCCTGAGGCCCTGGACCCCTTCCCTTGGCACTCAGTGCTGCCCTTCCGTCACAGGGCCGAGAAGGAGTGGGGTGACGGCATCAGGGGTCTGTCGCTAAACGCTGCCCGGTTCGCCCTGCTGCGTGTGGAGCACGGCCCCCCCCACACCAAGAACTGGAGGTGAGCGCCCCAGCTTGCCCTGAGTTGGCCTCCTGCCCTCTGAACCCCCGAAGCGCCGTCTCTAACAGCACACTTCGGAGAAGGAAAGTTGCTGCCTCTCTTTGGGGAGCGATTGTCTCAGAAGCTTCTAGCACCTTCCCTCAGTCCGCAGTGGTTGGCCGTGGCGCGATCAGCATGTCTCTGGGCACTAGGCCGGACCTGGGTGGCGTGGTGGGTGGGGAAGGGGGCGAGCTGACCTCGCTGGGGTCCTGCCGAGGACGGAGGGCAAGCGTGTGGGCGTCTCCCTGCCGCTGGGGGGGTGGAGAAGGCCGTGCCTGGGGAACAGCGGTTTTACCCGCACGGAGAGCCCCTCGGCCCCTGGGCACGCGCACCCGCGCACCTGGCGGGGGCGCGGGGTGACGGCTGTCTCCCCCCGCAGGCCGCAGGTGCTGGTGATGCTGAGCCTGGATGAGGAGCAGTGTGTAAAGCACCCCCGACTGCTGTCCCTCACCACCCAGCTCAAGGCCGGCAAGGGCCTGACCATCGTGGGCTCCGTGCTGGAGGGCACCTACCTGGACAAGCACTCGGAGGCCCAGCGGGCCGAGGAGGTGGGCAGCGTGGGCGGAGGGCGGGCGGAGGGGCCGGGTGGCCCTGAAGCGCGGTGTGGGGCAGGCCCATGTTTCCTGCGTGGGCTGGGCCGGAAGGTCCGAGCTTGGGTCCGTGCGTCCCGTGGGGCTGTCTGGTTTCAAGGACCGGGGCTTCGGGGTTTGGACGGAGCCGGACGGAAGCTGCTGCAGGGACCTGCTGTGGGCGGGGCCTCGTGCTGGAGGGGCTGCCCGCCCGGGGCTCAGGCCTAGGGGCGCGACCTCGACACGTGTGGAAATGTAGGCGTGCGGGTGTTTCCAGACAGAAACGCTTCCGTGTCCGTGACTAGAGCAGGAGGCACGGGAGCACCAGGTGTTCCCAGGCAGCCTCGCTCTTGTCCCCTGTCTTCCCTTCCTCACGGGTGGAGTGTCCCCCCCCCCCCCCCCCCGGTCCGGGCGGATGGCGTATCCTTGTGTCCGGGAGCAGCCACGCTGCTGCCGTGGGCCTGAACCGGGGCTGCACCCAGAGGCTCATTCGGATTCAGAGCGGGGGTGGGGCCGCAGGACGGTGGCCTCCTACCTGGACAGTTAGCCCCGCGCGCGCAGCGGTCCGCAGGTGCAGCTGGTTCAGGGAAGGCAGCAGACGCGCTGGGTGCTTGTCCCTCCCTCTGGGGCGCCAGGCCCCCCTCAGCGGGACCTCAGCTCAAGGGCTCAGGTGTGGCAGTGGCTGGCTGCAAACCGGTTTCGGCGGCGTCCTCCTTGCGACGCTCACACTGCCCGTTTCTGGCCGGGGCTTTGCTCTCCGGATCCCCTCCTGCTCGTGGCGACGGGAGCGCTTGCCCTGACCCGAGGCGTGGCGGGAGAGGCCCTGGCGTTGACTCCTGACATAGCTCGGGTGCCACGCGTTCTGTGGCGCAGCTCTCGCCGGGTGGGGTGTCTCTGGCGAACCGAGGGGGAGGTGGGCGAGAGAGGTGGGCGTCCGCGAGCCAGGGCCCAGGACGGTTCGGGTGTGGCTGGGTTCACGGTCTCTGCCCCTTTCTAGACTCCGCTGCTACCATTTAACACACAAGGTTCTGTTCTTTGCTAACTAAGTCCTACAGAAAGCATTGGCGCACGCTTACGTCCTAAGAGTTCAGTTTTGTGTTCTGGAAGAGCGTGTGTTTATGATGGTCTCGTGGTATCTTGTGGAAGCGGGGGACTCCTGTTCTGAGACCCCTCTGTTCTTGTGCGTTGAGGGGCTTCTGACGTTCCTGTGACAGAAGCGTGGGGGGTGAGTGGTCCATAGACAGGTTTGGTTCCTCGGTGGGGCTCGTGCAGTCAGAGCCTCCCTAGTGGCATGGACGCCACGGGTCTGGGCCAGGTTCTGGTTTCCTGGTCTGCCTGGCAGTCTGCCTGCCGTCGGATGGCTCCGTGTGCCGGTGGCTCGGCCCCGTTATTGCCCTGGTGGCACGACTGGGTTTCGCTGCAGATGTACGGCAGCTGTGGGGCTGAGGGTCACGGTGTCCCCGAGGGGGGGCCGCCGTCTGAGGGGCTGGCGAACAGGGAGCTGTGTCTCAGGAAGAGGGCCCGGGGGCCCCGCGGTGCCCAGACTCCTCCTGCTCTGGTCATCTCCTGCCCTACCCTGTGCCAGGAGGCCTGGTTGGTCGCGCTGGGGCTCGCGCGCCGGCTGGGAGGCCGGGAAGGGTGAGGCCCTGCTGCTCCCCGCAGCGACAATGCCGCCGGGTCTGGCCGTGACCGTGTGGTTGGCCCCTCACAGTCCCCCCGCGTATCTCCCCAGAACATCCGGGCTCTGATGAGCGCGGAGAAGACCAAGGGTTTCTGCCAGCTGGTGGTGTCCTCCAACCTGCGCGATGGCATGTCCCACCTGATCCAGTCGGCTGGCCTGGGGGGCATGAAGCACAACACGGTGCTCATGGCCTGGCCCGAGTCCTGGAAGAGGGAGGACAACACCTTCTCCTGGAAGAACTTCGTCGGTGGGTCCTGGGCCCCCTCCGCGAGGCTCCCGGAGGCCCCGGCTGTGCGCCCTGTGGGAGAGTGACCCCCCCCCCCCCCC